ACAACAATGTATATCGTTAGAAAACTTTTAGTACTGTACTTGATAAAATGATCAAAAGACCTAGCTACAACCGTACAGAGAACTGCCAGAGGTTCAAGTTAGATTCAGATGAAGATGTGGAATGAGGGACATCATTGGTGACATCTAATGAATCTTGGCTGAAAGCAGAGAACACCAGAAAGATACCTGTACTTTATTGACTACACAATGGCTTTCGATTGTGTGGATTATGACAAGCTATGGACAACTGCCAGGGGCCATGATGGCTCTGATAACAAATACATTGCAACAACACAGACCAGTGAGAGACCCTATGCATGAAGAAAGTCCACTGTACTGCAGAGCAGCAACGGATGCCTCGTTGATTTGGCAGAGCCTCAACAGGAGATTTCATGCGGGGACCTTGCTGGCTTTGTAGTTTCATTTTAATTCTATCATTTTAATAAGTATCAAAGTTATAAGTAATCAGTATTATACTTATTATTCTGATTTAAGAAATATACATATTTTTGATTTTTATAGTTTGATAATCAGACATTTTAAAGCAGTTGAAACAACTGCCAGTATAGAGTTGAGATCATAATCTAGCACCTGTTTTATTTAAAAAATAAAGGAGAGGGAAATGGCAGAGGCCATGTCACCAAGGGGCAGAGTGGCGGAGGACCCTAAGCATGAAGGGCTCATTGTTAAGCAAGGCCACAATGGGTCTCCCCTTGGAAGGCAAGGCCCCAGGAGGGATCTCATGTGGGGACTCTGCAGTTTCTGTCTCTTTGTTTTAATCAGCTTATTTTTAATTTTCTTGATTCTATAATAAAAGTTTTCAGTAGAATCTTAGTAAGAATTATATTAGAGATTTGAAACTTGTTTTTAGGCACCTTCACATCATATTCAATCATGTGTAGTCCTAAAGAATGCTTTTCACACTAACAATAAATTTCATCACTAGGAAAAACCAGCTAAAGTTTTTGCCAGTCCAGGCTTAAGATTACATTCAACATTCTGTGTAGTTTCGATCAGGGACATCAAGACCTCTAGAAAATTAGCTAAAAATGCAATTTAGGGCTAAGGGAATAGTAATAGATCATAAGCAGAAATTTAACTAGATTTTTGTATAGAGAAGTTTTTATAAGGAAGTTGTTCCGTTTCTTCTTAACTACAAAACTTTAAATGCTTCTGGTTTTTCTTGTTTAATCAATCATGAGAAACAACTGTGTTGTCAGTTACCATAGCAAATAATGTTTAGGTACATGGTGTGATTAATGAATCTATGGAAAATAATAGGTGAAGGTAGAAATAGGAGTTAAGATTTAGAATTATGTTTTAAGATTAACGTGACATTTTAAGAACAATGAGGTTTGCTTACAGAAATCAGATATTGTCTAACTGTGTAAAAGGGAACAAGGAAGATTTTGATGCTCTTGATGCTCTATATTGAAATGATAAATATGTATGATTTAGACCACTACTTTGAAAAGAAAGATTAATAGATTGATGGTATAGAGTAGTATAAAAGCTGTTTGAGAATCTGAAATTCAAAAGAGGAGAAATAAAATGAGAGGAGAAGACTCACCATTCATCGAGACCTATTGATTCTGTGAGCTTCATTTCTTCACGGATGCCATACCTCTCTCTAAGGAACCCCCAATAAGATTGTCAGGGCTGGCCCCCGACAGACAACATTGCTAAGAATGAGTATTCTGGAACACTTACTTGTGCTTATGAGGAACCTGTACATAGTATAAAAGGCAGTTGTTAGAATAAGACATGGAATCACTGAAAGTTGTGTTCCAGGGTTGTACTTTTTCGCATTACTTATTCAGTCTGTATGCTGAACACATACATAATCTGAGAAGCTCGATTATATGAACAAGAACATAGCGTCATTGGAGGAAGACTCATTAACAACCTGTGATATGTAGATGATACGATCTTGCTTGCTGGAAGAGACAATGACTTAAAATACTTTCTGATGAAGATCAAAGACCATAGCCTTCGGTATGGGTTGCACCTTCATGTAAAGAAAATGTCCTCACCACTGAACCAATAAATAACATCAAGATAAATGGAGAAAAGATTGAAGTTACCAAAGACCATCAACACTAATGGAAGCAGCAGTAAAGATAACAAACAATGTATTCCATTAGGAAAATCTGCTGCACAAGACCTCTTTAAAGTGTTGGCAAGCAATGACGTCAGTTTGAGGACTAAAGTGTGCCTGACCCAAGCCATGGTATTTTCAATAACCCCATATGCATGTGAAATTGGAAGACCATAGAAGAACTGATGCATTTGAGTTATGGTGTTGGAGGAGAATATTAAAAGTACCACAGACTGCTAAAAAGAACAAACTGATCTGTGTTGGAAGAAGTATAGCCAGAATGCTCCTTGGAAGCCAGGATGGCCAGACTTCATCTCTCATACTTCACACATATTATCAGGAGGGACCAGTCCCTGGAGAAGGATATCATGTTTGGTAAAGTGGAGGGTCAGAGAAAAAGAGGAAGACCCCCATCAAGATGGATTGGCCAAGTGGCAGCATCAATGGGCTCAAGCATATCAATTATTGTGACATTGGCACAGGACCGGGCAGTGTTCATTCTGTTGGGTATAGGGTTGGCACCAGCTCAATGGCACCTATGAGTTAGCACCAGCTCGATGGCACCTAACAATAACACCACTACAACTGTGCTCTATGCATTCCTATGCCTGAGTTCTCTTCCACTGATGGCTTTTTATGTTTTTACTGTGTACAATTAGAGAGGATGCATTCAAGTCCATCATTGAAAGGATGTGCCAGGCATATGCATGCGAAAGCTGGACAGTGGGTAAGGAAGACCGTATAAGAATTAATGCTTTGAGTTAGGGTATTGGAGGAGAATATTGAAAGTGCCATGGGTTGCCAAAAGAACCAATAGATCCATTTAGGAAGAAGTGCAGCCATAGTGCTCCTTGGAGGCCGAGATGGTCAAACTTCGTCTCTTGTACTTTGGACATGTTGTCAGGAGGGACCATTCGCTGGAGAAGGATGTCATGTTTGGTAAGGTAGAGAGAGGGTCAGAGAAAAAGAGGAAGACCCCCAATGAGATGGATTGGCCAAGTGGCAGCATTGATGGACTCAAGTGTGGCAACAGTGAGGTTGGCCCAGGATCAGACAGTGTTTCCTTCTGTTGTGCATAAGTTCGCTATGAGTCAGTACCGACTCGATGGCACCTAACAACAACAACAACAAACCATCTGGAATAAGTGTATGCTTCAGATGATCTTTAATGATAATAATTCATCTTTCATTTTAACCTTTGTGTCAGGTTTCCATGCTCCAATCTGTCAATCAGTTCAAAACCCACCCAACCATTACATAAAATATTATAAAAATTAAAAACTGAAGTGAGAATGTAAAATGAAAACTTATACACAGAGAAGTCCAAAGGTTGAAAGACTTATCTACTTGTGTTTTAACCAAACAAAACCATGTCACCCATTTCAAGTGACAAGATTCAGCTGAACTACAAAATTTAGAAATAGGTCCGCCCACATCTTCTACATACAATTCCCTTTCCTTCACAATGCACCCAGGAGAAGGTAGTGTGTACAAGACTGCTGCTGCTGGTGTTGGTCAGGATAAAAAAAGGAGAATTGTCATATTCTTTTATGAAAAATGTCTTTCAAAGTTGTCTGCTTTTAATTTTCCTTATTTTCATTACAACTGTTATCCAGAAGCTTAGAGGAAAAGTTTATCTACAGCAAAATTTGCAGATGTAAGTATTCCTTTTTCCTGAAGAATGTCACTGACCTTTTAATGCTTAGTGATTAAATTTTGCTGTTAATGGGTTATTGATCTTATAGCTCTTTTCTAAGTTAAGTTTCAGAAATGGGGTCCTAAAGGCGGCAATCTGGGATGCTCATTCCAACATCACTTCTCTATCACATAATCTAAGGAAGCCACTTTCCAAATGATAGTGAGACTTGTTTTGATCTAGGTCATTTGCAGAGTGCATAGTCCCAGCTGACAGTGACTGTACCACTTAGAGTGATAATCCCAGTGAGACTACCACCTGGTTATGATGTCCATTCGCCTCACAGATACAAAATTTCTTCTCTCTCTTTCCTCCCCCAGTTCCCCACCACCACCAAATAATAGAGATTCCTAGTATCCTTTAATAAGATAACAGAGCTATCCCCAACTCTGAAACCTAGAAGAAGAAGAAAAGTTGGAGTCATAAAGCCTGATATTAGTTAGCTTTAATAAACTTTTTTGTTGCTAATGATGATAAAGAAATCATAGAGCTAATAGCTAAAAACAATTAGCAAGCAATTTTTGCTACAAAACGAATCAGTGGTCCTAAATTCTATCACATAAAAATCAATCAAGAAACTATGGTCATATCATTTCATGAAACAACCAGGATTTGAAAAAATCAATGTCTTTATTCATCATGTGCTTAAATCAGTTCATAACAAAATTAAAAATTCATATCCATCTGACAAAGGGCAAGAAGATGTCTTCACGTATATTAAGGAGTGTTGTTGGTAAGTGCTGTCAAGTCAGCTCCAACTCATATCAACCCTATAAAGGGTTTCTGAGGAGCAGGTGGTAAGTTTGAGCCACCAAATTTGTGGTTTAAACAGACCTCAGGGTTGAGTGCTTATCCTACAGCACAACACTAGGACTCCATTAAGGATGTTGTTGTTGTTAAGTCCCGTCAAGTTGGCGTTTCCAAGGAGTGAGTAACTGGTGAGTTTGAACCCGCCTGCCTTGTAGTTCAAACCAACTTTGCAGTCCAGTGCATTAACCCACAGTGCCACACCAGGACTCACATATTAAGGATGTTGTTGTTGTTGTTAAGTGCCGTCGAGCCGGTTCCGACCCATAGCGACCCTGAATAGGGTTTCCAAGGAGTGGCTGGTGAGCTTGAACCGCAGACCTTGCAGTTCAAACAACTTTGCAGTCCAGTGCATTAACCCACAATGCCACACCAGGACATAGTAAATGCTAAACTTACCTCAAAAACTTGATCTTGAAAAGCTTTTTCATTAGCAATTAATTCTCTAATGGTTGTGATTCTGGCTTTATGTTTCAATAGCTAAGAAAAAAAGCATTTTATACTTTAGAAGAGAGAAAAAAAACTGTATTATATAAAATTTTAAATAAAATCATCCAACCATTCAGTTGTTAATAATGTTGCAACTAATAATGCTACAATTCCATATAGAAAGATTTTTATAAAACAATTTTGTCATTTGTATTCATATAATCTAAGCAATTTATTATATTTAAGCAATTTATAACTGTATTTATCCCATATTGTTCTATGATTAAAACTGGTAATAAGCATGACTAAGGCTTCTGTCTGCTCTGCTATGGGAGGAGGGTCAGGGGAGGCAGGAGAATGATAACAGCTCAGTGATGCCACTGATGTTGTTGTTAAGTATTACTGAGTTGGTTCTGACTCATAGCAACCCTGTGGGAGGTGTTTAAATCTTTGTGGTAGCATAAGAATGTAAAAACAAACTATTTTTCAGCAATCAGTTGTGCAATGCTAAATTGAAAAATATCATGTACCTTTTTATTTTTTTTGGTAGATGCATGAGATTCTCTAATACAGACTTACTAGTTATAAAACAAATCAAGTGTTGCTCTAAATAAGATGCATAGCAAGCTTACTTAGTTTGTAAAACAATTCTTAAAATATTTTAGAATTTTTTTCACAATTGGCTATTTTTCTGTTTTCATTCAAAATGTTATTATTTTTAGAATGAGGAGCAAATACAGTACCTCTTTATCTAAATTTTTCTTTTTAAGGAGGAAGCACTTCAATTTTTGCAGCACTGCATCACTAATTTTCTCACTGTCTTTGAAATGTTCAGCATCAGGATTGGTGAAGTCCTAAAGATAATAGTTTAAGAAACTAGATTAAAAGTTTCAATAAAGCTAAAAGGAAGGAGAAGAAAACATAAATATCTCTTTCATACTAAGTAAGCAAAACAAAGGAGGTAAAAGAATATTGAATTCAATTCTTTAATTATTTTTCACTTAATGAAAGATTATTGTGGAAAGGCTTCATACAGATTCATTTGTTTAGTAAATTGATATTGGGATAGATTAGTATAATTGTTGAAATGTTAATACCCATCTATGATAATTAAACATGCGAAGTGGTTACGAATTGGGCTGCTAATCTCACAGTTAGCAGTTCAAAACTAGCAGGGATTCCAAAGGAGAAAGATGAGGCTTTCTGTTCCTGTAATGATTTACAGCCTCGCAAACCCTATTCAGGGTCACTGTGATTCGGTACAGACCCCACGGCACAAGTACCACCACCAGATTCGTATGTATACCTTTCCCCTTCATCTAGTCAGTTTCCAAATCCACATTTTACACAAGTTGCTATTTCTCTAAATTAAAATTTACTCTATCACCAGAACAATCAGATATCATCAACAAAATGGAAACTCTAGTTATTTTAGGTACCCCACACGAAAGGCCCCTGGGTAGTGCAAACAGTTTGAGTTCAACTACGAACCTAAAGATTGGCAATTTAAGCCGACACATGAGTACTTCAGTGGGGAAAAAGGTCTGACAGTATGTTTCCATAAAGACCACTCACCAAGAAAATCCTATGCTTTTTATTTCTACTCTGTAACACCTGGGGTCACCATGAGTTAGAATCAACTGCCAGCAGCAGGTTTACCTAAACTAATACAGTACTTGTATCTATATAACCCAGGGGTCAACGTGCATGCACTGAAGTCAAGCTGCCTGGGTTTATATATGAGTTCTGCCTCTTAATCACATGTGAAATTTTGGACAAGTAACTCAACTAAGCCTCAGTTTGTTTTCCTGTGCTTAAAAAAAGACTAACACTAAGAATGATGTAAAAATTAAGTTAGAGAATTCACGAGCAGTAGTGTCAAAGAAAATCCAACAACCTCCAAGAAGAGGACAGGCAGTCAACAAGTTTTTGTTGAGAGCCTATATGTCCTAAGCCCAGCATTAGGTGCCGGTACAGGGCATACCGTGGTTCACAGTGCATACCAAATCTCTGATCTTGAAGGCTAATGTTCTAGTGGGGTAGGAAAGATATGAAAGCAAGTAAGACTTGTTGAGAATGGCATGAAATCTACAAAGAAGGCAGACTGCACCATTGAGAAGTCTGATAGAGAAGCAGCAGCTAGCAAACAAGTCAGAGAAAGAATAGCAGCTTCCACAGAGACAGGATAAAACAAAGCAAATGGTGAATAAATAAATGTTTGAAAGGGCAAAGTTGAGTAGAAAGCTTATAGCAAAGGATTCTGTGCCCATTCAGATTCAAGTATTTTAAAATAAACTTTAGGTAGATATAGGTTATAAGTGACATTGTATGTTCTCTGTGTGAACTGTTTAGTCCCGTTTCCAGCACCCAATAAATGCTAGATGTTCAGCAAATTGTAGGTAACAGAAAACAGAATTTGTGCTGGTTCAGGAACATCAGAAACCCAGGCCCCCAAATTCTAACTCTGGTGAGGGCACAGAAGAACAAATAAATGGGCAGTAATAGAAGGATGAGGATGAAAGAGCGAATTATGAGGATCTATGAAGTGTCATGCCCTCTAATGTGTTCTCACATCAAATGCAGTACTTGCATCCTCCCTGGGCCACCCCACTGCCAGAGAGCTGATTCAGACACATGTCGATCTTGCAAACCTTGCAGGCAGTAAATCTTTAAGGGAGCTTCATCTTTGTCCCTCTCAGTGGCTGGAGGGTTTGAACTTCCAACCTAGCAGTTAACAGTTCAGTGCTTATCCTACAGTGTCACACCAGAATTCCTATCCCAATTTAACATGAGAGAACATTGAGAAAGTTGTTACTTAATCAAGTTCATACAGCTGGGAAGTAATCTGACACTAAAGCTATTTTTAATCCTAGAGTACACAGCTCCACATTCCTCCCTCCAAAAACCTATACTTTAGATAAACAACTTCTTAAGAGTCAACAATAATAACATTCTATGGGAGAACGAGGGGGCTTTCTTGCTTCCATAAAGATTTACAGCCTCGGAAACCCTACACAGGGTCACTATGAATCGATGGCAGTTTGGTTTGGTCTGATGTTAGGGTAGTGGTTATTTAGGCGTCCTGGTATGACTCTGTAGGATAAGCACTACTGGACTGTTAACCACAGTGTTGGCAGTACAAACCCACTAGCCGCTCCTTGGAAATCCAATGTAGGGTCACTATGAGTCAAAACCAACTGGAGGGTACTTAACAACACTGTCCCCTCTAGGAATGGGCTTCCCTTGTTATGTTAATGAGACAGCATTAGATGGTGGTGGTGTGACCGCAGTCCAGTCAATTCCGACTCATAGTGACCTTGTATACATAGGTTATCTGAGGACCGGCTGGTAGGCTTGAACTGCTAACCTTGCAGTTAGCAGTCCAGTGCTTATCCTGCAGTGCCACCTCAGGAGTCCAGTGGTAATGGTGGTGGTGGTTGTGTGCGAAGGAGTCAGTTCCAAGTCACAGTGACCCTATATGGGTTTCCTAGGCTGTATACCTTTAATTTAGCAGAAAACCTCACCTTTCTCCCAAGGAGAGACTGGTAGATTCAAACTGCTGACCTTGAGGTTAGCAGGCCAATGCATAACCTACCACGCTATCAGAGCTCCTTAGGAACCATGGAACATGAATCTTCCACCAGAAACTCCTAATAGCAACAACTGAATGAGCTTAGTACCTGGCATGTGAGAAGTCCTACCATCAGAGTTAGCAGACTGTGAATTTTGGAGGCCAGCGTTCTTTTGTCATCTGGAAGACTCAGACTCTCTTCTTCACAATTCAGAAACAAATTAGAATGTATCCTCTTTGTATCCTACATGCACACAAATCAGATTTGTTACAATAAAGGCTAGACAACTAGGTTACCTTTAAGTAAAATACTAAATAAAAAACCCAAACCTTGAGCAGTGGTTCTCAAACTTTTTGAATTCAGGATTCTTTTATTTGTTGTTGTTATTAAGTGCCGTTGACCCTAAAAAGTTATTTATTTATGTGGGTTATATAAACTGATATTTAATATTTTTATACTAATTTGTTTAAATAATATTAAACACATTACATGTTAGATGGCAATTTTGTAGTAAAAAATTACCATTTTATTCAAAACAAAAAAATTTAAGTGATACTCATTTACATATTTGCAAATATTTTAAATTCTGGGTTAAGGCAAGCTGATTTTTCATATTGCTTTACACATTACATTAGCATAAAAGCAAATACATCATTATATATCACATAGCTTCTGGAAGACGCCTCTAAACATCTACAGAAGAATGAGAGTAGAAAAGGCAAATAATATCTTAATATTTTTATGAAAATAATTTTACCTCACATATACCACAGACTATACTTTGAGAGCACTAACCTAGGGTTCAAGAAAAGCAGATTAAAAGTAGATTAAATATGACTTGGAGGGCATTAAAAAATTTGATTGTAGTTTTGGTGTGGCACTATGGGTTAATGCGTTGGACTGCAAAGTCAGTTTGAACCACAAAGTCGGTGGTTCAAGCTCATGAGTCGCTCCTTGGAAATTCTATACAAGGTCGCTTTGGGTCGGAACCAACTCGATGGCACTTTACAACAACAACAAAATTTGTTTAGTCAAGCCAATACATTTTGCTGTTGTTTAAAAGAAAGTTCAAGAAACCAAAATAGTACATTGTGTTAAATTTCTGTATGAGAAATAAAACCAATTCAGTCAGAACCCACCAATTCAAAACTTGTCATGTTGTTGATTAGGAGAGCAATTTATGGTCATCCTCGCTTATCAGTGATTCTCAAAGTGTGACCCTAGACAAGTAGCATCAGCATTTCCTAAGAACTTGTTGGGAATTCTCAGGTCCCACCCCAGACCTACTGAACCCAAAACTGTGGGGGTAAGGCAGATTAAGGTCCAGGAATCTATGTTTTAGCAAGCTCTCCAGGGGATTCTGATGCCTCTTCAAGTTTGAGAACAACTGCTGTAGGTAATCTGTTCTTTGTTCTGGAGAAAAAAATCATAGAAAATTTTTCTAAACAGAGGGAACAATAAAATCGTTCTATCTATGTAGCTAAGAATTCTTAAGAATAGTAGAATTATTTATTTTAAAATAACACTTATGCCAATTATAGATTGACAAAGTAGGCCCTCAAAGGACACCTTCAACAAATAATATATGTAAGTGCCATGCCATTTGATAGTATTTGAAATCCTGACACAAAGTAAGAAGCATGGACAAGAAACATAAAGCCTCAGTCTTGGGTAAGACTAATCAGATAACAGAGTATTATGTGTCCATAGGACTAAAATGTGAAAGTTGCTATAACACGAGGTCACGGTATACACTATCTTTTCATTTATGTAATAACCAATACAAATGATGTCACTTATAGGGGCCAAATATGCATATCTATGCTATTAGAAACTCCTGAAATTTGACAATAGAGATTGCATCAATACCTTTGCAAGTTCTGAATCCTCTAGTTGCTCCTTTAACTCAGCTATCTCATATTTAGGTAGGAAATTTTGCTCCTCACTTGTTGTAACCTGCTGATGAAGTTTTGCGTTTTCATTTTTTACTTCATTGATCTGTTGCTGAAGTTTCATATTCTTAGACTTTTCACTTTCAGAGATATATTGCAAATATTTAACTTGAGCGACCAATTTCTCAAGACTAGATTTCAGTTTCTGTCTTTCTTGTAAGGTTTGTTTTTCATGTTTCTGGAATTCCTCTTGTAAAGACATGAACTCTTGTCCTCTGGTCTCCTTTTCCCTTTTCAGCAAGTCCAGAGCAGAAGCGGTGGCTTTCTCCAATTCTCCTTTGACTTGCTGAAGCCTCCCTAGCTCTTCTTCTTTCTTGCTTAAGGTTCTGTTCATCTCAATGCACTGAGTTAGAGATTTATTTTTTTGCTGAATTTCTGTCATGTACCTTTCCTGAAGATGAACATAATTCACCTTGATCTTTTTAATCTCCATCTGTAAAGTTTTCTTTTCGTTCCGTGACTCATGAAGATGTTTTTGGGTGTTAGATAACATCTCTTGAGTGTTCTTCAGCGTTCTGTCAGCATCATTCTTCTCTAGGATTATTTTGTATTTGTCGTCAATTAATTTTTCAACATTCTCCTTTAGTTTATTAATGATGTCAACCAACACTTGCTGCCTGGTAATCTTCATCTGTAATTCTTTAATCTTCTTCTCTAAATACATGTTACTACACTGTAGGTCTTGGATTCGCATTTGCTGTTTTTTGTTGGTATGTTTTAATTTCCGTAAGACTTCATTTAAAGCCATATCTTCTTCCAAAGGTTGTAAGCTTTCGAAGCTTCGCTCTGTGTCAGAGGTCTTGCAGTCCTCCCTGGATCCTCCACCACTCCAGGAAACGTTTGACAGGGACCATGTTGAGAAAATTCCTGGACTTTCCACAACCCCAATTTTGACTTCCTTTTGGTGACTAACTGACATCTGAGGATTCTCCCCAGAACTCTGCATTTCATTTGGTGAAACTGCCATCTATAAATTATAGTAAATAAACAAATGGGAACAAGTAGAAAGACCATGAGCTTTGGAATTAGATCCCAACTTTCGTTTCCCCAGCTATAAAACAACACTAATACACCTGCTTGCAGGACTTTTCTAAGAATTACTTGGAAATTGTAAAGAAAGCACGTAGATGATAAAGTGAAGCATCACATGTCATCTTACTTGGTACTCTCACCATTTTATATGACATAGAACGTTTCTGGACACAATAAAAGATGCTATTTTCTTAGACTTCAAATGAATTAACAAATGAATTTATCTACTACTCTACTCATATAATCCCTTTAGACTAAAGCTTTTATTGTTAATTCTCCATTTAAACCATGACTTTACTACGCCATAAATCCTATAAGCATTAGAATGCCAGAAGACCATGTCTCATGATGGACTTTATGTCAACAATATAAGTTTTGAGGGACAATACATTATGGCAAGAGTACACTGAAATACATATGACATAAAAACCTCATAGAAGATACCTGACGGGGCAGGCTATATAAATTTCTGTAATTTAAAAATATTGAACTCCTGTATTCTAATATTTTAAGTTTTTTCATTGCTTTGGGATAAGACAACTCTCCTGGTTCAGGCCTATAAGGCACTGACATCTGACACTGCTATCTGACCTGAGCCTGCTCTCCTCCATCACTTTTGCTCCCTCTACCCAGCTTCCTTCCGGTCCTTCTACGTATCATGTGATCCACATCCTCAGGGCTTCTGTACATTGTTCCTTCTGAATGGAATGTCCTCGTACCCATCACTACTTAGGTAATTCCTACTCATCCTTGTGGCACTGTAGTATAAGCACTGGACTGCTAACTACAAGGTTGGCAGTTCAAAGCCACCATCCGCTCCTCAGAAACTCCACGCAAGGCCACTAATGAGTAGAAGTCAACTTGATGGCATTTAACAACAACATCCTTCAGAATTTAGCTCAATTACTTCTTCAGGGAACACTTACCTAAATTCCTCAACCAACAGGCAGGTTCTAATTTACAAATGAGTTCTGTTACTAAGTCTGTCTTTAAGTTGAATTTTTTGCAAATTAGAACAGTTAGGTATGGTTCATATCTAATGTCAGTTAGTCAAATGTTTGTCATTGTATATAGTCTATCTTTTTATGCATAAAACCATTAAAGAAATACTACCAGGTACAATAAACTATCTTTAACATAATAATAGAATAACATCATAATAATGTTTTGATGTGCATTGCAAAGCAGTACCTGTTTGTTATTACAAACCATGTTTTGTTGTTGCTGTTAAGTGCCATCAAGTCAGTTCTGACCCATAGTGACCCTGTATAGGGCTTTCGAGGAGCAGCTGGTAAGCTTGAACTGATGACTTTGTGGTTCAAACAACTTTGCAGTCCTCTGCATTAACCCACAGTGCCCACTCCAAATTGTTACTATAATAGGCTTTATAGGGGTTGGTTCCTAACTACATATGGACATTCATAACTGGGTTAATGGCTTGTATCCCTATTATAGACTCCTAATGTACATGCTAACATGTATTCACAGCATTTAACACAGGTGCAAGAAACCCTGGCATCACAGTGAATTATGAGCTATGCTGTTAACCGCAAGGTCAGCAGTCTGAATCTACCAATTGCTCCTCAGGAGTAAGATGAGGGTTTCTGCTCCTATAAAGGTTTACAGCCTCAGAAAGCCTATACAGGGTTGCTATGAGTCAGAACTGACTTGATGGCACACAATCACCACTATCACCACCATCATAGTTGTAAGTATACATTTATTTGTGTATTGTGATTAATGTCCTTATCCTCTACTAGAAATGTTATCTTTAGGAGGATAAGAAATATGGCTTTTTGTTTTTTAGGATGAACCAATGATGAATCAATCCATAGCACAAAGCCTGGCACAGAACAGATGCTTGAAAGTATTTATTGGCCAACTAAATGAATAAATGTAATGAAAAGAGGAAAGAACAATCCTAACTAAACAAAAAATTAATTAAAGTTCCCTTTTAAATGCTGACATCTACTTCCAAATAAGGAGCTCTGGTAGCTTAGTGGTTAGGAGTCAAGCTGCTAACCTCAAGGTCAGCAGTTCAAAACTACTAGCAGTTCCATGAGAGAAGATGAAGCTTTCTGCTCCCATAAAGATTTATGCAGGGTGTCTATGAGTCAAATTCAACTTCACGGCACACCACTACCACCTCCAAGTAGAGGAGCCCTGGTGGTGCTGTAGGATAAACACTGGACTATTAACCACAGTACAAGGTAGCAAATTCAAATCCACTAGCTACTCACAGGAGAAAGATGCTCCTTTAAAGATTTACAGCCTTGGAAATCCTATACAGGGTCTCTATGAGTAAGAACTGATTTCACAACAGCTAATAACTACCAATACATCCAAATAAACATAAAGCTGCTCATACTTATTAAAGGAACATATTAACCATAGCTCTTTCTCATCAAACTCACAATGAAAAGTTACAAGTTGGGGAGATGCACAAGAATGCCCAAACTTGTAGATAGTACCTATTTGACCTAGCCTCGATGACTTGATGATCAGAACTCATTTAGAGAAGGATAAAAAACAATTTTTGATAAAGGAAACAAGTGTAAATTGCTACAATTTGATGAACTTGACCTATATTTATGGATGTAGTAGCTCAAAATACCAACTGAGAGGGAAGGAGTATTCATATCAAGTATCAATCCTGTCCCCTCTGCATACAGGGTTGATAGGGATGGGCAACTTAGATATTGGCTATCTAAAATGGGGGGCCTATCAAGGCATGAAGTGGCTAGCTTAAAGTTTTCAAGAGGGAGTTTAGTTTCAGAGTATGTGGGGGAAGGTAGACTCTCCACTGAGTAGTTTTCATCTTGTCTAGAAGGGTTTGATGAAAGGAGATGGGGATAAGATCCTTATGATTCAATAGTAATTGTTATCATGGCTAATTGTGACTGTCACAACTGTAAAGGTAGAAGTTTTGTAACAAAAAGAGGGGAGTAGTTAATCTTAAAGTCCAGAAGCAGAGGACCATCAAAGGAGAAGAGCATGAGCAGAATGCGGGATCCTATCCAGAGAAGCAGTGACACCAGAGATGGAGGCAGAGATGACATGGAGAGATAGAGCCGCTGAGGACTCTAGATTCATGGAAAGTGAAAGGCTATATGATGGCGGCCAGAAGGTAGACTTGCAGAATGTGCCCTTCAGCTGTTTAAATGATTATATATTCCTGAGTATTTCTGTGTACATCTCCCACCCCACCCCATCCTCCTTAAAAAATAATAGAGGGAATGGAAGCAAATACTGTTGAATGATGATGCATGGAGGAGACTGTAATCATTGCAATGAAATGATGAGTGTAAAACTGATGTTCTCCCATGTAAACAATCACTCAATTCACAATAAAAACATAAAAAAAAAAAAAAGAAAAAGAAAAGTTACAAATTATGCTGGTCTTGGATTGTATCTACTCGTCCAAACCAGAATCTTTTTTTTTTTTTTTTTTTGGCTCAGAAAGTACATACGATTTATAGTGCTGACATCTTCAGTACTCTTAAGATGCCACTATACGTGTATCTGTTGTTGTTGAGTGCCGGTGAGTTGGCTCCAACCCATAGTGACCCTGTATAGGGTTTCCAAGGAGCGGCTGGTGAGCTTGAACCACTGACCTTGAGGTTCAAACCGATTTTGCAGTCCAGTGCATTAACCCATAGTGCCACACCAGGACATCAATAAATTAAGAGATCAGCATTTTTTTCCACTTTGGTGCCCATTTCCCCACTGCCATTGAGTTGATTCTGGCTCATAATAATACTATGGTGGTGTTGTTAAGTGCTGTTGAGTTGGTTCGTACTCAGAGTGACCCTGTGTAGATTTTCTGAGGAGTGGCTGGTGGGTTTGTTAACAGTACAGTGCTTTCCTACAGCACCACATTAGGACTCCAAGGTAACACTACAGAACAGAATAGAACTGCTTATTAGGGTTTCTGAGACTAAATCCTTATGGGAGCAGACAGTTTCATCTTTCTCCTGTGGAGCAGGAAGGGTCTGAACAGCCAACCTTGAGGTTAGCAGCCCAACACGTAGAAAAACAAATTATGTTTGCTTTTTGACAAAAGTTCAACATGAAAGAAAAATCTTTGTATTTTTTGTCAAATAATTTAATTAACCCCTAGCTACACTCCTTCCTCTTTGCAACCAGTTTGATTCTGCCAATTTAAGAACTGATTTTATTTAAGGGACCATGGTGTGGCGCTGTGGGCTAATGCATCAGACTGCAAAGTCATTTGAACTGCAAGGTCCGTGGTTCAAGCTCACCAGCTGCTCCTTGGAAACCCTACACAGGGTCACTATGGGTTGGAATTGACTCGATGGCACTTAACAACAACAATATAAACACTAAGGAGTTCTAGTGTGGCACTGTGGGTTAATGTGCAGGACTGCAAGGGGGGTTTGAAATGCAAGGTTGGTGATTCAAGCTCACCAGCCACTCCTAGGAAACCCTATATAGGGTACCTATGAGTCGGAAGTGACTCAATGGCACTTAACAACAATAATAGACACTAAAGTGCATACAAAGATGAACAATACAGTCCTGATGCTCAAATAAATTATCATTCAGTAGTGCTATTCCACAGATATTGGCCAGGATTTATTAGAAAAAAAATGTTTCAGACTTGATTAAAATCTCAGAATTAATTCTTAGAATCTAGAGAAGCAAGCTCACTTGTACTGATTAGTTGGTTTAACACTACCAGGAAAGGTCTCAGATGATATATATGTATTTAAAAAAAAACACACATTCTTTAACACGCCACAAACTTTACAGACAATCAAAAATTTACCTCTGTTTTATAGTTAGCGCTCAGATCAAGCAGGTTCAAGTTAGTCTCTTTATTAAAAGGTTCCTCAGCATCACTGTATACAGTTTCATTATATAAACTTTGAGGTTGAGTAGGATTGAGGGCAGGTGGCTTGGCAGTACTTTCAGCCTGTTTTTTTCCACAGCAGTGGATTAAAGGCAGACTTCTAGAAGGTTCACTGGCATATTTATTGGCTAATAGGTCTTCTTTTGTGGAAATGCTAATTCCCACTGGATTATCTTCCTTAAACAAATCTTTCTTTGTATTGCTGTCTTCTTCATAATTACACACATGACTTTGCAATTCTGCCTTCTCTGTGTAAGATAAGCCTTCCATGGAACTTTGAAATGTTTCCATTTCATCATTAAGGACTTCAGTCCAATGAAATTTACAAATGGGTTCAAACTGTTTCAAGGAAGAAACATTGGTGTCAACTGGCTGAATTAGCATATTCTGGGAATACTTTTTAAAGTTGACATCTCATTAAAAAGAGGAAAAAGAAAGGAAATAACAATTAGTTTACTATAGATTTATGTTAACAGTTATTTTTAAAGAAATAAACTGGTGGACCCTTTTGAGAATAATGTATTATTTCAATTTAGTTCATTCTATAGATTATGACATGGAGTTTTTGTCCTAGCAAAAAACCCAAAACTTTTTACTTTTTTTACATGGGAGAAAGAAATACCCAAATAACTGCTATAAAAAGAAAAGAAAAGCTTGCTATATGTCATTCATGTCAGCATTATTAAAACAAATTCTAAAATATATTTAAAAATTCTTTTTGTACTATAATTTACAAGTGTTTTAATTATAAAATGTTTGCCAATGTATGTGAGTTCTGTATGGACAGTGCAAGGAACCATGGAACTCAAGCAGAGGGTGGTGGGAGGGAAACTTGATATCAGAATTGGTTAAAAAAAAAAAAAAGGTTGGAAGGTGTGAAGACATGTCTAATCCTAAACTTCACAGGAATTAGTTTTAGACTGTTGATGCTGATTTTTCTCCTCTGTGGTGAAGTCTGAAGATATCAGACTCATGGCATCATTGTTGCCACATAGCCACATAAAAGTTATTTTGCCTTTGTGATTAATCATATGGTGGTGGTGGTTCTGTGCCTTGGAGTCGGTTTCAACTCATAGTGACCCTGCATAGGATTTCCGAGGCTGTGAATCTTAATGGGAGCAGAAAGCCTCATCTTTCTCCCACGGAACAGCTTGCAGTTGAGGTTAGCAGCCCGACTCATAACCACTACGCTGTCAGAGCTCCTGATTAATCATATAGATCTAGTTTATTCCAATTTTCAAAAGACCAAGCTCATTGCCAGCAAGTCTTTTCCAACTCTTGTTGTTGTTGTTAGGTGTCCTTGAGTTGGTTCTGACTCATAGCAATGCGATGCACAACAGAATGAAGCACTGTCTGGTCCTGCACCAGCCTCACAATTGTGAATACATTTGAGCCCACTGCTGCTGCCACTGTGTCAACCCATCTCTTGTTGTTGTTAAGTGCCTTCAAGTCGGTTCTGACTCATAGCAACCCTGTATAGGGGTTCTAAGGAGCAGCTCGTTGGTTTCAACTGCCAACCTTGTGGTTCACAGCAGAAGTCCCAATCCATCTCCTAGTGACTCTATGTAAGATTTCCAAGACTTTAGACCTTTACCGGAGTACACAGCCTCATCTTTCTCCTACAACACAGCTGGTGGGTTTGAATTGTCCATTTGTGGTTCGTAGTCCAGTGCTTATCCTACAGAGTCACCAGGGCTTGTTAGTTCATTCTAACAGAGGACTGTATTTCCTTCATGCTAGATATTTAGGCGATTTCTAATTTCACTATTAAAAACAACACTACAGTGAAAAAAATTGTCTTAGGTCCCAAATATACCTAAAAATAAAATTGCTGAAAATAGCTATTTTCAACTTGTTGTTGTTGCTGTTAAGTGCTGTGGAGTCGGTTCCGACTCATAGCGACCCTGTACAGGGTTTCCAAAGCTGTAAATCTTTACGGGAGCAGAAAGCCTCATCTTTCTCCCACGGAGCAGCTGGTAGTTTTGAACTGCTGACCTTGATGTTCACAGCCTGATTCGTAACCACTATGCTACCAGAGCTCCTTAGACATTACAAAAATTATTGTCCAAAGCGGTTATACCAATTCTCAATATTTCATTAGCAGAAGAGTTCCTTTGATTTACTTTCTGCCACCCTGTCAAACTGATGGTAGTTTATTGCAGTATTTCTTATGTGCATCCTTTCATGGACTTAGTGGTCTTACAGGTTTCCTTTTCTGTAATTTGCATGTTACATAGTTTTCCTGTTGGGTTATCTTTTTCTTATTGAGTTGGAAAACCAGAAAAACTATATAACATGCAGTCTCCTGGTGTGGTGCTACAGAACAGCACTGGACTGCTAACCACAAGGTTGGTGGTTCAAACCCACCAGCCGCTCCTTGGAAACTCTACACAGGGTCACTATGAGTCAGAACTGACTTGAAGGATTTAACATGAAGATTACTGAAAATCTTGTGTATTAATCATACATGTATTACATCTATCTTCTCTCCGTCTGTGGCTTGTTCATTTTACTTTTTTATTATGTTGTTGTTAGCTGTCTTTTGTACAATATAGGTAGTTCTGACTGGAAACATTATCTGAGTTATGATGATGTGCATTTAGAACTGCTTTAGTTTACTGTACATCTTATCATAAACCCTATACTGGGTCGCTATGGGTCAGAACTGACTCAATGGCACTTAACATCAACAACAAATCATCAGTGTGGCACTGTAGGATAAGCACTGGACTGCTAATCTCAATGTCAGTGATTTAAATCTACCAGCTGCTCCTCAGAAATCCTATATAGGGTCAACTTTGTCTCTCGTGGTTTGGACATATTATCAAGAGGGACTAGACCCTGAAGAAAGACATCATGCTTGGTAAAGTGGAGGGTCAGCAAAAAAGAGGAAGACCACCACCAAGATGGACTGGCACAGTGGCAGCAGCAATGGGCTCAAGCAAGACATTTGTGAGGATGCTGCAGTACTTGGGAGTGTTTCGTTCTGATGTGCACAGGGTTGTAATGAGTTAGAATCAACTTGATGGCATCTAACATGAGTCAGAACCTATTCACAGCATTTAACAATCATCATTAGTAATATGTACTAAATACAGTGTTACAGTGTGTAGTTTGCTGATGTTAACCTCAGATGTATCACTTACAGATGGTTCCATTATGCTGTTTAAAAGTTGTGTTTTGAAATGAAAATTAAAAAATAGATGTGTTTGACTTAACACCTAGTGACTTTGATGGAGTTGCTGGGGGCCTACTTTTGTTGTTACATAACAAGTGAATTTCAACACATACTGAGCCTCAAACCCACCAAACCCACTACCTTTCAGTGAATGCTGACTCACAGTAATCCTATACTACATTGTTATAATTACTGTTAACTCTAGTAAATCTTATCTTCTAAGACAAGGCTCCACATCTTTTTCAAAATTGACTCTTTTTTTTCCAAATTGAATGTTAGGATTAACCTCCAAAGAAAATTTCATTAATTTATAAATTTGAGGAAAAACTGATACCTTTACAGTGTTGAAAATGAAGTATTTATTTATGTTTTCTGGTAATGTTGTATCATTTTTTCCCATAGAAATCTTAAAGGCCTTTGGTTAGATTATTTAAAATATATTGTGTTTCTACTTATAACTTTAAAAATTCCTTTCTCTAACTGGTAATTATTGGCATACTAGTATGCTACTGGTTTTTTAAATGCTGATCTTTAGTATTCTTCTAAACTATTATAATAGTGTCTTACAAATTTAGAAATAATGACCATTTCTTTTCCTTTCTAATCCTGTACCATCTACTTTTCTTATACCTGCATGCATTGAATTCTGTAATTTTAATAAGGCTTGTCGAATCTTTTTAGTATAACTTATAACTATTAAAAAGAGACATTTCTATACGGTATTTGAGTTTGCTTTAGAAAACACGATCAATGTATTCCATTAACTCCTAAATTGTGTTTATCATCAGTTTAAGAGTAGAATATGTGAGTTTAGTTGCAGCAATAGATCTTTTAAGATACTTATATAGTATAAATTCTGGTGTCATAGACTATGATTCGAATTCCAGTTTGGCAAGTTACTTTCCTCATCTGTAAAATGAAGATAAACACTCCTTATTTCATAGAACTGTTTGTGGATTGACTGAAGTAATATATATAAAGTGGCAGTATAGTAACTGGTTATTATTATTAATATGTTGTTGTTGTTGTTAGGTACTGTAAAGTCGAATCCAACTCACAGCAAACCCTTGTGACAGCAGAATTTCCCCTGGGGTTTTCTTTCTTTTTTTTTTTAAAAAAAATGTTTTATTGTGAATTATGTGATAGTTTACATGGGAGAACATTAGCTTTACATTCATCCTATCATATATCGTTTCATTGCCATGGTTACAATCCCCTCCATGCATCATCAACCAACCAAAGGGTATACCCTGCAAGTCTGCCCCACCCTGGTCATCAGCACACAGCCCCTCTCCCTCTCTGGGTCTAGAGTCCCCAGCCGCTCCATCTCTCCATGTCATCGTCTCTGCCTCTATCTCTGGTGTCACTGCTTCTCTGGATAAGGTCCCACACTCCATTCCCTTGATGGTCCCAAGGATGAATGCTCCTGGACTGCAAAGTTAACCACTTCCCCCCTTTTTCTACAAAATGTCTGCCTTTCCCCTGTGGTTTTCTTTTCTGTAATCTTTACCACAGATCACCAGGTTTGTTTCCAGCAGACTGGCTGAGTGGGCTCAAACCTCCTCAGTTAATAGCTGAGTGCTGAACCCTTGTACCACCAGAGTTCCTTGTTATTGCCACAGAACACAAAAATTCTTGGCTTCTGTTTAGCATACTTTCAATAAAGAGATACTCACCACCTAGCAAATTATCTAGTGTATTATAAATATCTTCAGAAAGTGTGAATTTAGGCTCATTTCCCCCTTTTATATTCTTTATTTCATTCTGTGTTGAAGAAAAAAAAGGCATTAATAGCAATAATTAAATTAAGTGTTAAATGTAAATAATTAAAGCATATCATAAACTTTTTCTGAAGTTTACGATACAAGGGGACTTCAAAAGTTAATGAGAAAGTGGAATTTTTTTGCCCCCACAAACTTTTTAAAGCCCCGATGTATGTACACTGCTATGTAATATTTCTGTTATAATTATTTTGTTGACAGAAAGAATGTTCTAGTATCTATCCCTACTGTATAACTGAGCTCCCTTTTGGTAAAAACATGCCAACAGTCACAAAATGACAAAATGAAACAAGTATCTGGTTATTTTAATATTTTGATTTTTCAGTAAGTCTTATGTGACAATAAACGTGTGCTAGTTCTGTGGAGAAAAGACTATAAACTTGGGAAAAGTAGTTATATATATACATGTTACCAATAATTCTTTGATGTTTGTTAAATTTAGTCTAAATGGCATTGTAGTAATTATGATTCTTATCTTTTAACATTGAGGATATACATAAAACAAGGTTCTAGTGATAAGAAGGAATTTGATTCTATAAAGTGGGAATTTACAAAAATTCATGTAGGGCTTATCTCAGGTACCTAAAGATAAAAGGGTTTATTAAGTAAATTAGTGTAAAAGGCAATGATGAACATATTTTAAATGCTTAAGAAAACCATAGGCTAAATCATTAAGTATGCGCACCTCAATGATGCTCTGAAAACTATTAAAGTCAGCTGATTATAAGCATCCATTTAACAAAGCTTTTAAACACTGTTCTTATTGTTGTACTTGAAAGTAATAAAATCTGATTATATTTTATAACAGTTTTACTTAAGTGTTGTTAATTCAGGCAATTCCTAACTAGATAAAAAATATAAAGGATGATACACTTGAAAATAAAATAGTATTCATATGCAAGGAGTACTGGTATGGTGCTGTGAGTTAATGTGCTGCACTGCAAAGTTGGTTTGAGCTGCAAGGTCGGTGGTTCAAGATCACCAATCACTCCTTGGAAACCCTATACAGGGTCACTATGGGTCAGAACTGACTCAATGGCACTTAACAATTAACAACAATGTTCATACACAGGAATTTCAAAAAGTTCATGGAAAAATGAAATTTTAAGATTATATAATTTTTCCATGAACTTTCTGAAGCTCCCTTATACACTGTTATATTTACACAAACTTCTCTGAACTTCAATATTCAAAATTTCAAGATTATTTCTAAATCTAATCTACTATGATTTATTATCTGTAACCAAAATATACATTTGGCTTTTATTTATACATTCATTTTAAAGAAAAATATTCAGTACATAGTATCTTGGAACCTGATTAACACTGTAATATTATGATCAAAAAACTATTTTCGTGAAAATTTTTTTTGTAATTATAAAAAAGTTTTAAGGATTGTTATTTAAAAAAAAAAATGAAAGTAAAAATTCTTAAAACCCTACCATTCAATGAGAACCAATGTGATAAATTTTCCATGTGAACAAATTATGTTGTTATATGTCATGGAGTCAGTTCTGACTCATAGTGACCCTATACAGGGTTTCTGAGGCTGTAAATCTTTACGGGAGCAGAAAGCCTCATCTTTCTCCCGTGGAACAGCTGGTAGTTTCAAACTGCTGACCTTGCGGTTCACAGCCCGATGCACAACCACTACGCTATCCACGTAATAATCATATTTAAGGTTACATTTCCACTATGTTGTTGTTGTTGTTAAGTACCGTGGAGTCGGTTCCGACTCATAGCGACCCTGCACAGGGATTCCGAGGCTGTAAATCTTTATGGGAGCAGAGAGCCTCATTTTTCTCCCTTGGAACTGCTGGTAGTTTCGAACTCCGACCTAGAGGTTAGTAGCCCAATTCGTAACCACATGTGTACAATAATTTACCTGGCTTGCTACTAATGAAAAGTTAGGTTGCTTTCAATGTTTGGAATAGTTGAAATAGTTTTAAAAACATACTTGTATGAATACTTCCTATAGGTAGAATTACTAAAAAAAAAAAAAAAAAGCTAAGTTAAAAAAAGGGGGGCAGTTAAAATTTTGAATTCCTTTTACTAAATATTCCATTAGCAAGGTTATGTCAATTTATAGGTGAACTATATGAAACTGTTAATATTTACCCAGGTTTTATTAATAAAAAGGCAATATCATAGGGTTTCTTGCTGCTGTTGGCTGTTGTCAAGCTGAACCCAATTCATGGTGACTCCATGCAAAATGCAACAAAATGCTGCCTGGTCGTGTGCCATCCTCATGCTCAGTTAAGGATTACTCTACTCTGTTTTGGTATGGAAGCGCCACTGAAACTCCTTCAGTATCACAGAAACATGCAATACTCCAAGTACAGACTGGCAGATGGGTGGTGGTTACACTTTTAAAGTACACTGGCCAGTTCTTTCTCCTGGATCTCTTGCACAGAAGATGAGAATTCTAGCACTGTACCATCATTGTCCCCAGCATAACCTCACATATTTTTTGCACTAATAGCTATCAAATAGAATAATTGTCATGAAGATCTTGGGACATTAAAGCTGCTTCTGTGAGAAAGGGCACTAAGAATTTTAATGAAATAAGAAGGAGTTGTTTATATGAGTGTCATCAATGACAGTACATTATGTGAACTCTCTGTATACTGTCATAGGGGGAGATGTACTGCATCAGACCATTCATTTTCTGTAACTGAGTTGTTGTAGCCATGTTCTGTGGCTGCTGTCTTGAGATTTCATGAGATGAGAAGACCGTTTTATATTTTAAGAGAGGATCATTTTCAATAATCTTTAAAATTTGGTCTTTGTACACTAATACAACTGGGAAAACCAGGCCTTCAATTTACTCCCTCTTCCCCCACCTATTACTGTTACTCAAATTGAAGAACTTTTCATAAGGAAGATAACATGAATGCATTTATAGCTCCACAATTTATGGACAGTGCACACCTGAGGGAATTCTGAAGTGGTACTGCTGGTTTCCATATAGAATGCAGAATTTGAGTAAGTTAAGTCTTGAGTAAGGCTGCTGACATTCGTGGCTTCTGCTTCTGACATGTTTTCTAATTTTTCTTGAGAAGTATGTACAGGATCTGAAGGTAATGATCAAAATTGTTGATAGTTCTTGTTCGTAAATGTTTAATAATGCAGAGTCTCTTTAGAAAAAAGAAACAAAACAGCAACAATTAAATGACTTTTTGTATACGGAAACAAGCGATTTCCCCATCCTTTATGTAAGAAAATAGCAAAATTTATATAGCCCCAAATTTTAATGTTATTTGTCAAGTTACTGGAGAAATAAAAAAAATGTAATCAGTGTATACCATAACTATGGTAGTTATGTTTCTACATGCAAAAACGCCATTGGGTTGCGGGGAAGCAAACCTAAATGATCCTTGTTTTATTTCCCGATATACAAAAGAACTTTGTGAATCCAGCACTTATCACATTTTTAGGCTTTGATCACTCTCATTCGGGACAGAACACTCTGCCAGCTTACTTTCACGTATTTATTTTTAACTTCCCCAATCTCTGATTTCTGTCTTTACCAGTGTTCTTACTAGATTAAAAAAACATTTATCCAATTGTTTGGGCAGACATTCCAGAGACATTCAAAAGCTGCTTTAAGATAAGCTTTAAAACAAGTGTTCAGCAAACTTTAGAAGACATTTGTAAATCTTATTCAATCAGAGGACTCATGAACTTTTTAAAGCACCTGTCACATTTTTACCTCAAAACAATGCACTAAACGTTTTAAGTCGCAAAGGTGTTCTCACTTCCAGACTCCATAGAGTTTCTTGAGTGTACACTATGGATTTTGTGCTTCCTCCCTCCGCACTGGGCTTCGTTGGAGGGAGAAATACACTTAACAACGTTTTCCACGGATGGCTTTTAAAAACTCTCAGTTGGGAAGCAGGCGCATTGGAACGCGCCTGCTGTGACGTCCGCCCAAGCCTGGCCAATCGCGTCAGCGCGCGTCCGGCAGCCCGCGGGCCACGCGCGTCACGAAGTTCTTAAGTTACGTGGGTACCACCTTCCTGACCGAGCAACTCGAGTCTTTCCGCAGGAGGAAACAAGGAGTGGGGCGCGGAAACAGAGGGACTGCACAAGTTCCGCGTGGCCAATCGCGCAAGTCTGGATCACGAAGAAGGCGGGACTTCCGTTTCAGAGGGTGTGTTTCCCACCCACCCCCTCCCCTGGAGGCGAGCCTTCCGGACGGGGCGGAGCTTCCGGTTGGGGCGGGCCAGGGTGCCGAGGCCGTGGGTCTGGGTTCTTTATAGCACGTGTTAAAAGCTACTGGCTGAGGGTCTTCTGGACCGTGTGAGAGGCGTGAGAGGCGAGGATCGTTCGAGAGGTCATTGCTTTGGACGCGGCTGAAGCCGCTTCTGTGTCGTTTCTCGTCCAGCGTAAGCCGGCGGCCTCCGGTGTCTCTGGGGGCTTGCCTTGGTTCGGTTATGGACTACCGGCGGCTGTTGATGAGCCGGGTAGTCCCGGGGCAGTTTGACGACGCGGAGTCCTCTGACAGGTAGACACACTGGCTTTGGTCAGCTTCTGTTTTGGCCTCCACCCCACCTTGCCCGGAGTGGACAGTTGTGTGTGTGTGTGTGTGTGTGGGGGGGGGGGGGGTTCTTAAAGGGGAGACTCAAGATCTCAGCCGGGTCCTTCGTCTCCGTTTTTGGCAGTGATAATGGAAACCACTTGCTAAAGGCGCCCAGGTTCTCCAGGTTGGTAAGCGTCACTGAGTATCAGAGTTGAAGATGCTACTGCTGTTGTTTATTGTTAAATGCCGTCAAATTGGTTCTGACTCTTAGTGATCATGTATAAGTTTGCAAGGTGAGGCTGGTGGCTTTGAACTGCTGACCTTGAGGTTAGCAAGTGCAGTGCTTAGGCTTCATGGCCACACCACGGGGATAGGAGTTGGGAAACAGGCTTCTGTGCTTTGACTGCTTTCAGTGTTCACCAAATATTGAGCACCTGCTGGGCCCCAGTGAACAAGAAAACCAAGTTCCCACCCACATGGGTCTTTACCTCCAACTTGGGGGTGAGGGTTGGACTGTGAGGAGAGGCAGGCAAGCACATAGGTGTTTACAAAACCAGATTATGGTAAATACTATCCAGATAATTCACGTAGTTTGGTATATTAAGTAACGACTGAATGGATGGTCAGAGAAGGATTAAGTTTAAATTACAATGACAAAAAGGAGTTTACCATGGGAAGACCACAGTGAACAGCATTTCAGGCAAAAGAGACAGCAAGTGTAAAGGCCCAACAATAAGATCCAGAGTGCCAAAGGCATCCCTAGACAGTACCGATGCTTAATACACTTGACTCCTAACTTAAAGGTTTTGAGTTGTCCCAAAGGTACCTTGAAAGAAAATACGGGTGATCTACTTTAGAAGAATCAGCCCTTGAAAACCCTTTGCTGCTGAAACTCATCTTTAAAACTTATACTAAATACATCAGCAATTGTTTAGCTTAATTGTTGTTGTTGTGAAGTGCTGTCGAGTCAATTCCGATCCATAGTGACCCTATATAGCGTTTCTGAGGAGCAGCTGGTGAGCTTAAACCGTCGACCTTGCAGTTCAAAAGGCTTTGCAGTCGGGTGCATTAACCCATAGCGCCACACGTCTACCTTGAGTAGTTTGTTGTTTTAAGAACTGTGTATATGGAATCAAACTGACAACAGGGATCAAATTGACAGCAGCCACATGAAAGAAAGGTTAGGTAGGAACCTTAAAGGGCAGTAAGTTTATATTAAGAGAGATACAACTTAGGAGGAGGGTGAGAGTGATTGTCCAACCTGAAGAATATAGTCAGTGTAACGGAATTGTAAATTATTTACATATAGAAACTGTTGAATTGGTGTGTTTCACTTTGGATAGTCTCAACAGCAACAGCAAAATAAATAGAATTTAAAAAACAGACCTTATTGGTGGGCAGTTGTACTCTAGTCACATGAGGTTGCTAAAGTCAAAATTGACTCAATGGCACACAGCAATGATGACCTAACGTTTTTTTTTCCCCCCTCAAATCAATCTGCCATTTATTAACATATCCCCCCTCCTGCTGTTCTTTTATTTATTTAAAAAAAAAACAAAACTTTTTTGTTGTGAATTGAGGGAAACTTTACAGACAAGATCATCAGTTTTACATTCAACAAATACTGCACTTTGTTTCATCTCAATGAATGCAGTCTCCTTTGTGCAACAATAGTTAGCCCATTTGCATTCCACCGAGGTTCCCATCCCTTCTCAACTTTGCCCTTAGTAAATGTTACCCTGTTGATTTTGAATGATTGACTATTTCATGGTAAGCATACTTTACTAGTGTTGTTCCCCTCTATACCTATCTACTATTGTCACATCAGTTCCCAGCTCATAGCAACCCTATATAGGGTTTCAGAGGAGCAGCTGGTGAGCTTGAACCACCACCTTATGGTTCAAACCGACCTTGCAGTCCAGCACACTAACTCAGAGGCACACCTGTCTACTTGTTGTTAAGTTGTTAAGTGCCGTCGAGTCGGTTCCAACCCATAGTGACCCTGTATAGGGTTTCCGAGAAGCAGCTGGTGAGCTTGAACCACTGACCTTGCAGTTCAAACAGCTTTGCAGTTTGGCGCATTAATGCACAGTGCCACACCAGGATCCCACCTATCTACTACTTGGCTGAATATTGGGCCGTAAGGGTGAGTCCTTTGCCAGACCTGAAGGGGGTGGTTGAAGGCTCTAGTCTCAGGTTCCTCTAGTCTCTTTCTGACCAGTAAGCGTAGTCTTTTTTTTTTTTTTTAATTATTATTAATAATTTTGAGTTTCATTCCATATTTTCTCCCACTCTACCCATGACCTTCTAATGTGACCCCTTTCAGAGTCTTTGGATGTGGTAAGGGAGCATCATCTAGTTCTGGTCTCAGAGTCGTGGAGAGTGATGTTCACATGTACCATTAGTCTATTGGATTAATTGACTCAAAACCTCTTCAATTCTTATCGTTCTTGTTTCTGCACATGAAGTGGCCACCTTAGGTGTATCTCTCTGCATTTGTTAAGTACTTTGTCAAATCAAGGAGCTCTGTAGTGTAGTGGTTACGAATCAGGCTGCGAACCTCAGGGTCAGCAGTTCGAAACTACCAGCTGTTCCGCGTGAGAAAGATGAGGCTTTCTGCGCCCGTAAAGATTTACAGTCTTGGAAACCCTGTACAGTATTGCTATGAGTTGGAACCGACTCCACGGCACATAACAACAACAACAACAATCTAACTATTGCCATATCTGGTATTGTTAGTAGCCAATTCTGACTTAAGGCAAACCTGTGTGTTTCAGAGCAGAGCTTCTCTGGAGGCTTTCTTGGCTCTTACTGGATGCGGACCACCAGGCCTTTCCTTTTGCTGTACCACTGGGTGGGTGCCAACTGCCAACCTCTAGGTTCAGAGTTGGGCAATGCATTATATTGGTAAACAAGACCAGCACCATTGTGGTCCACACAGAACTGACTCTAGCAGGGAAGCAGATAATAGACAGTTCAGCTGCTGCAATTGTTTAAGTACTACACAGGAGGAATGGGTGAAGAATCGGAAAGATTTCCCTGAGCAAGTGATGGTAAGCTGACACTGGAAGGTGGTGGAGTATGTTTAGCCAGAAAAGGGAAAAGACATTACAGATTTAGATGACAGAAGAGCTAACTGAAGTCCATAGGGAAGATGGTTGTGGGCAGAAGCAGCTCAGCCAGTGTGGCTGGTAAGGAAGTGGTTAATGGAAATCAAAGCGTACTGGTTTACTACCAACTACTGAATATTGTGGACTCCTGTGGGTTAATGTGCTGGACTGCAAAGTAGGTTTGAACCGAAGGGTCTGCAGTTCAAGCTCACCAATGGCTCCTCAGAAACCCTATACAGGGTTGTTATGAGTTGGAACCAATTTGACGGTGCTTAACAACAACACATTGAATTTTGTTAAGAATAAGTCACTAACCCGCCATTAGGGCAGTCTCGAGACATTTTTGGTTGTCTTAACTGGCTACTAGTGTTGGTAGGTTGGTAGCCAGGGATGCTACCAGTGGTGGTTATGTGCTGCACGGTCAGTTCCGACTCATAGTGACCCTGTATAGAGTCTATCAGGCTATAAATCTTTATGGGGACAGAAAGCTTCATCATTCTCCATTGGAGGGTCTGGTAGACTTGAACTGCTGACCTTATGGTTAGCTGCCCAGTTCGTAACCCACTGCAGTGCCAGCGCTCCTGAGGGATGCTACTGAACACTCTACAATGGATAAGAAACCCTCTCACTATAGAGAATGATCTGGCCAACATTGAGAGACACTAGTGTAAGTAAAGTTACAGCTTAATATGCCACTCTAGATTATTGACAATT